AAAATTTTTTGGAATTTCGGTAGAACATGTTTAGAACAACAGAAAACATATGTGAAAACACTCAAAGCTCAATAAATATTCAATCTACAAGAAATACAGAAAAATAGGGGAAAATACTGAAACTACTTTGCTGTGCCATGGAGACACATGGTAGCCCAGGACCACTTCCTAGATGACTCTTTGGATACTTAATTCAATTGGCCTTAATTGCTTATAAAGTGTGCAACACAGGTAGGGGGAATCTGTTCTTAATTTAGTTCTGAAAGAGGCATGAGTGGATGTAAACGCTAATCACAGACCACTGTAGATCATTAGGGCAATTAAGCAACAGTTTCTGGTCTTGAAACCCTTCCACACAAATCACCTGCTAACCTTTGGATCCAGGTTTCAGACTTGCGAACACTTTGGGGTTCTTAAGGGCAAGTGAGAGCTCATTGAGGAAGGAAATAAAGTGGGAGTCTCTTTCAGATTTCTTTGACTCAAAAATGATGACAATGGTAAAGTGAGGTTCCGGGCGGGTTAGAAAGTAGGTGCTCTGCACTTTGTCATCATAGAAGTGCACCACTTTCTCCAAGCTGTTCAGATCGGATGTGCGGTCCGTCATGATCATGATGACATTGGGCCAGTGCATGACTGGCCTGTCACTGGGCAGAGACACTACGGCTGGATACTGGTCCACACCCTTGGGAGCCTCTCTGTAGGAATGGGGGTGGTGATAGCCATGACCCTGAAAACTCTCAGAACCCCTGTTGTCAAAAATTAAGGACACATTGGCAGCATCATATTTCCTGATGAAGCTGGAAATCTTTCCAAAAAAGTCTGGGTTAGCTTTTGCTGTCAACGTTTTCATTTCTGAAGCAGTCGTTTGTCGGCTCAGAGCCTCATGAAAGTAAAAGCTAAACTTGGCAAGAAGCATGTTTTTGAGTTTCATCAGCCAAAGGAAAAGGTGCGGGGGCTGCACGGCCTTCTGAGACTGCCCTCCAAACAGATGTTTCTTTGTCTCCCGCTGTTTCTCAAAGATCTGGCCCCAGGTCTGCAGCTTGGTGTGCGCACTGTGTAAGTTAACCAAAGATGGGAGGAACTTCCACTCTGAGACCTGGGCCTGGGCTTTCAGGAGATGACACAGGACGTCAACTTCCAGCTGGAAACTGCTTTCCAAAGGACTGAGGATTGGGTGGTGAAATCTAAAGAGGGGAGGGAAATTAATAGAGATAAGTGGAAATGGTACTCCACTTGCCATACTGACATTTTTCTAACCGCAGAGCAACAATATGGCCAAACAAATAATACTATGTTTAAGGACAGGGAAAGAAAAAATGTTGATTTATTTGGCAGTTCTGATATAATTTCACCATTTCAAAATTTTATCAACATCATATTCTCCTGTGGAAATGGCCTGAGAGTAGTGGCCACTTTCTTCTCAACAGAATTACTGAATTAGCTACCATTCATTTTATTATTTATTTGAGCCTGGGTCTTGCTCTGTCACCCAGGCTGGAGTGCAGTTGTGCAATCATGGCTCACTGCAGCTCAGCTCCTGGGCTCAAGTGAGCCTCTCACCTCAGCATCCCAAGCAGCTGAGAATACAGGCACACACTCCATTTTCTGTAGAGACAAGGTCTCCTTATGTTGCCCAGGCTGGTTTCAAACTCTAAGTGATCTTCCCGCCTTGGCCTCCCAAAGTGCTGGGTTACAGGTGTGAGCCACCACACCCGGCCTAAATTAGCTATAATTCTTTCTGAGCATATTTTAGTTATTCTGGGAATTGTATGACTAACACAGTCATTGAAACAAGGCATGCTCTTTTCAGAGTGTGGTACTAAAGAGGCAGAGGTAAAACAAAAAAAGTCACTAAAACATCTGTTGAATGTGTAGATGACATATATAAACTAATGTTCAGAGTAATGGCATGAGGCATTAAACCTTTCTTGCAGATGAGAACACATACTGTAAACTTATATGTAAAACACTGTCGACAAAATAAATGTTTATTGAAGAAATACAGCACTTATCAGACAGCCCTTATTCAATCCTGGTTCCCAATTTCCCTTCATATTTAATTATGGTTAAAAACAAAATGGTGTCCAGCCTGGCCAACACGGTGAAAGCCCATCCTTACTAAAAACACAAAAATTACCCAAGCATGGTAGCACGTGCACCTGTAATCCCAGCTACCCGGGAGGCTGAGGCATGAGAATCGCTTGAACCTGGGAGGCAAGGTTACAGTGAGCTGTGCACCACTGCACTCCAGCCTGGGCGAAAGAGCAAGACTCTGTCTCAAACAAACAAATAAACATATGGTGGCCAAGTAAGAAACAGCTAATACTTCAATCACTTTCCATTTAACTTAGGATAAAAACCCAAATCCATAAAAAGGCCTAGAGGGCATTGAATGCTGTAGTTCCTTCCCAGTTTGAGCCAATTCCCATTCTTCTCACTTTCTCCAGATATTCAATAAATAACTGGAAATGCAATTACACTACAAGGAGTTCGAGACAGTAGTGCAGTTTTACTTCCACTTGTCCTAGACAAAATGTATAAAAGTTTTTGACACTTGTAACAGTGGCTCATTCCAGCATTTTGGAAGGTGGAGGTGAGTGGACTGCTTGAGCCCAGGAGTTCATGAGACCAGCCTGGGAAACATGGCAAAATCCTGTTCTCTACAAAACATTCAAAAATTAGTCAAGTATGGTGGCGTGCACCTGTGGCCCCAGCTACTCAACTCAGAGGGCTGAGGTGGGAAGATCAACTGAGCAAGGTTGAGGATAGTGAACTGTGATCGCACTGCTGCGCTTGACAGAGTGAGACCTTGTCTCCAAAAAAAAAAGGTTTTTGACTATGATCTATAAGTAAAAAATACACTTCATGTTGTGACCAAGTACCTATATATAGAAATATTATTTTACTTCAATATTTACTGACTATATACAATGTACTCTTGATATTTTCTAATATATATTAAATATATATTTAAGATATTTTCTACTATATATATTAAATCAAATTACTACTTACTAAATTAACTTTCTAGCCCATGGATTACTACCTGCTGTTGGTAAAACACTATTCTACTTCACATGTAATAGCAATATTTAGAGGGAAAAGAACATGATGTGGGACAATCCTCTCTTCCAGACATGGGAAAAAAAGTGCAGAGGCCCTAGACAAGTGAGAGCATGACCCATTTTCATCAATACTGTACTCCTTCCTGATTCTTCAGGTCTCCTCATCAGAGTCACTAGAAAAGCTTTCTCTGTCCACTCCCAGAGGAGGTCAGGTTCCCCAGTTACATCCTCTCATTTACTAATACCTCCCTCCCACTTTAGTAGCCTGACCATATAATTTCTCAGGGAAACTGAAACATAGGCCACCTCAGCTTTAAGCTCCTCCCCAAGTGGAAGTCACAGCTGCCTCCTCTATTGGCTCCTTTGTCTCTAGAACATTATGACTCAAGTAAAAATTTAGTCAATGTGGTGACCAACTATGTAAAGATCTGAATCCAAGTCTCTGCCTCATTGGTTTTGCCTGCGGTTATGAGGTGAAATAAGTTCTATAACAATGGAATAGAATGGCTAAGGACAGTCCTTTCTGTACAGACCACATAGAGCTTTCTTGCTCAGTTTCTCTTCTGTGAAACGAACAGTGTCTCCCAGGCCTGGTACATGCTCCTTCTCCAGAAGCCTACATCAAGCCCTTACAGTCTTCTTAAAGATTCACAGTACCTGCAGAGGCTGCAGAAATGACCTCAGCAAGTGATCCCACTGTAAAGGCAGGGGAAGCACTTGTATTGATTGAGCATATCATATGTTCCAGGCACTATGGTAGATGATCTACAGGCCTGAGTGCATTTGATCACTTAATTGTTAATGAGATGAACGCTTCTCACACAGCTCTGATTTGACTACTGGTGAAAAGGAAAATGCTGGTTATCAATTAAACAATTAGGAAAATAAAAAATCATCTCAAGTCTATCTAGGTTTTGAAAATATATATATACTTAATACTTAAAAGGATTATGGTTAAAAGAGTCCATACTAAGTTGGACATTATAAGACAGAAATGGATTACCATGTGAAATGTCATTATTCATGTGAAAAACACACATTGTTTTTCATCTATTATCTGCATTTTACATCAACATCCTTCCAGCTGAGGAAACTAAAACACTGGTGAGATTAAGTCTAATAATATATATATTCCATGGAATACTATGCAGCCAATAAAAAGGAACAAGATCATGTCCTTTGCAGGGACATCGATGAAGTTGGAAGCCATTATCCTCAGCAAACTAATGTAGGAACAGAAAATTAAACACTACATGTTCCCACTTATAAGTGGGAGCTGAACAATGAGAACATATGGACACAGGGAGGGGAACAACACATACTGGGGCCTGTTGGGGGAGGGTGGTGTAGGGGAGAGCATTAGGGAAAAGAGCTAATGCATGCTGGGCTTAATACCTAGGTTATGGGTTAATAGGTGCAGCAAACCACCATGGCACACATTTACCTATGTAACAAACCTACACATCCTGCACATGTACCCTAGAATTTTAAAAAATTGAATTAAAAAAATACATATATAAATACACAAAAAAATCAGAAAGATAAACCAGATCTCAAATCTTCTAGCTCATGTGCTAAATTTAGACTTTTCAAACATTACATATTTTGGAATGAACACTAAGAAAGTGCAGGCTGGGAGCAGCGGCTCGCACCTGTAATCTTAGCACTTTGGCCAAGACAGGAGGATCATTTGGAGCCCACGAGTTCAAGACCAGCCTGGGCAATACGGTGAGACTCCTGTTTCTACAAATACTTAAAAAAAAATAACCAGGCCTGGTGGGGTGTGCCTGTAGTCCTAGATACTTGGGAGGCTGAAGTGGGAGGATTGCTTGAGCCTAGAAGGTTGAGGCTGTAGTTAGCCATGATCACACCACTGCACTCCAGTGTGGACAGCAGAGTAAGACCCTGTCTAAAACAAACAAACAAACAAAAAACTCACTTCAGCAGCACATATACTTAAATTGGAATGGTACAGTGAAGATTAGCATGTCCCCTATACAAGCCTAACACTTTTTTTATATATTTAAAAAAAAGTTTTAAATGCACACATGCAAAATCCCATTATAGAATAAGGCTCAAAACCCTTGAATTATAAGAAAGGCTCCTACCACCTTAGCCTTTAGGCCCCTTGACACTTATAAGCATTAAATATCACAATCTTCTATAATCAGGGCTATTAGGAAAATTTGCCTAACAACTGTGAACACAGTAAGACTGTTAATCACAGGATTAACGACATGAAATTAGAGAAAATTCTAGTACAAATAACACTATTGTTATCCTTCTACTGCTTTCAGTTGGAAATCATCATTTATATCCAATGCTTAAGAGGACAAAAATTCCCTGTACAAACCTTCCAAATAAGCTCTTCCATAACATACACTAAAAGTGCTTAAATGCTCAACATTTATTAAAGATATGTGAATGTTGAAACTATTTTTCATCCTCAAGAAGAGCTAAAAATTCATGTTAATGTTAGTCTGCCAAGACTTACAGATTAGCATTATGATGTATCATTTCCCTATTCCCACTCTGCCATGTGCCTCATAGCTATTCACAACTCATATTATAGGAGGCTCTGTTAAATGGTTGTAATCCAAAAATATCCACCTAAGCTACGGCAGCAAGCTTGAAAGAGTCTGAATAGTCTTAATACAGAATAAATTAACAACTATTTGCAGAGAACATCTGCTCTAAGGAAAGGAAGAAAGGAAGGAAGGAAGGAAGGAAGGAAGAAGGAAGGAAGGAAGAAATTCTCCTTAGAATAAAGTACAAAATGAATAGATTTGTGCAATATTCTAATGAAATACAAAATTCCATTTTAGAAATACTGCCTTTCTCCTTTGCAAATCTGTACCATGGAGTTCTTTCCAAAAAGTATATATTCTTATTTGTTTATTTATTTATTTATACGCAGGGTCTCACTGCACAGCTCACTGCAGACTCAACCTTCTAGATTCAAGGGATCCTCCTACCTCAGCCTCCTCAGCAGCTGGGACTATAGGCACAAACCACCACACCCAGCTAATTTTTTAATTTTTTGTAGACATAGGGTCTTGCTCTGTTGCCCAGGGTGGTCTTGAACTCCTAGCCTCAAGCAATCCTCTTGCTTTAGCCCCCCAAAGTTCTGGGATTACAGGTGTAAGCCACCACATCTGGTCAAAATGATACATTTTTTTTTTTAACATGTGTAGAATGTGCAGGGTTGTTACATAGGCATATGTGTGCCATGGTGGTTTGCTGCACCCAAAATGATAAATTTTAGGTTACACATATTTTATCATGACAAAACAAAATCTGTAACATCTTATCATTTAAAACAACTTGTTTACTAATTCTTAAATATCAGTACATTGAGGATATAAAAAATTAGTCAGAGATTTGCCCTACTGGACCTTCCATGGCAGAAGGAGGTATTTATAATGAATACAAAGTAGAAAATAATACATTTATTACACATAAAATAAGATTTCAGAAGAAGGAACAATTCCTTTTGGTCAAAAGATTGTGGAAGCCACAGAGGAGATGGCATTTGAATTGAGCCATGATGCTTAAAATAGCTAAGAGGTGGAAGCAACTCAAATGTCCATTGACAAATGAATGGATAAAGAAAACGTGGTATGTATACACAAATGGAGTATTAGCCTAAAAAAAGAAGGAAATCCTGTCACATGCTACAACATGGGTGAACCTCAAGGATATTATGGTAACTGAAATAAGCCAGTCACAAAAAGACAAATACTGTATGATTCTACTTCTATTTGGTATCTAAAGCAGTCAAACTTATGGAAACAGAAAACAGAACAGTGGTTGCCCAGGGATGTCAGAGGGGAAAATACTGCTCAAGAAGTACAAGGTTTCAGTGTCTCAAGATGAAAACATTCTAAAGGTCTACTACAAAAAGACTGTGAATATACTTAACACTACTGAACTGGGTACATTAAAAAGGTTAAAATGGTAAATTTGCTGGGGACAGTGGCTCATGCCTGTAATCCCAGCACTTAGGGAGGCTGAGGGGGGCAGGTCATTTGAGCTCATGAGTTCAAGACCAGCCTGGGCATCATTGCGAAACCCTATCTCTACAAAAATACAAAAATTAGTTAGGCATGGTGATGTACATCTGTAGTCCCAGCTACTCAAGAGGCTGAGGCATGAGAATCGCTTGAGCCCTGGAGGTGGAGATGGCAGTGAGCTAAGATTAGGCCACTGCACTCCAGACTAGGCAATAGAGTCAAACCTGTCTTAAAAAAAAAAAAAAATGGGCCGGGCGCGGTGGCTCACGCCTATAATCCTAGCACTTTGGGAGGCCGAGGCGG